TAGTTATCTCTTTTTCTATAAGTTTTTTTGTCTATTTTCTTATCTTTACTCTTATTATTTTCCTTTAATTCTCTAACTTCAAGTTTTAATATATTTATATCATTCCTTACTTCTTTTTATTTCATTTCTTATATCTTGAACATCATTTATGAGTATTTTTATTAATGCTTTTAATTCCTCCATATAACTCTCCATTGAGGTCTTAATTTAGTATCATTTTATCTTTGATTGAATAAAATAATATGTTCTACACTCAGTATCTTTACGGTGTTTTATAACTCTATCATACTTTTGCTTTGTAAATTCAGTATCTGTTAGTCATTTTTCCTTTTTTTAATTTTAATATTTGATTTTCTTGATAGTTTGTTAATTTCTCAGGAACTAATAATTCATCTAGTATTTGATGATTTATTAATTTTATTCTCTCTCATTTTTTATTCAAATTATTTTTTATTTTTGCTTTTTCCATATCTTTCATAAATTTAGTTAGATATTTTAAGAATCAATTTTTTATGATGATTCATAAACTTCCCTATAATATAAAATACTTTCATATTCTTCCATAATTTTTTCATATATGTATCTATCTCTTATGGATCCTACTATTAATCTATGTAATATTTGTTCTTTTATTTTTCTAAGCATTTCTTTAGTTACAATTAATGTTATTGTCTCTAACTTATTAGAAATATGTTCAAAAAATATATAACTTCATTGTTCTTCTTTTAATTTACAGTAATTATCTATTTTCGTTATTGTAATTTCCATTATTTTTATGGCTCTGATATCAATAAAAGGGGGCTACTCTGAGCGAACAAAAATCTAATAATCTTTAAAATCTAAAAATTTAATAATCTTTAAAATCCTTTTTCTAAAATTCTTTAATATTCTAAGAATTCTTTTAATAATGCTATACTTATTCTATTGTTTATTATAGATATATAAAATTTTAATGCTAACTTATATTTTAATTTCTTATACTCTTGAGGTAATCTGTTCATGATAGGTTTTCTCGTAGAGTTTTAAGTAAATCTTCAAAATCTAATAATGTTTGAAAATTTATAATATCAAGATATGTTATTATATCTATATTTGGGTTAAAAGGTATACCATATTTTGAAATACTCTTTTTCCTTTTTTCAGTTTATCTATAATATCCCGTATATCTTTTATTATTATAGATCTTACTATTCCTTTAGCAAAATTTTCCATCATGTTTTTGTTAAAGTATTTTAATATTTTTTGAGATACATTTAATTGTTCTTGATATCTTATCTTATCAAATTTATTTTCGAATTCAATCTCCTTTTTGTTTTTCATGATTCTTTTAATCTTATATGGTCCTCTGTTAGATCTGAATTTTTTTAAAGTTTTATAAGTCATTCTTAGCTATAATAATTCTTTAGGTCTTAATTGTACTCTTTTCATATTATGGTGACTTGGATGTAATTATCATATTTGGGGTATTTTAGGTAATTCCATTTGTTTAGAATAGTCAAATGCCATTTTGGAATTATGACCTTTTATTTAGGCTAACTGCATATATTTCCTCCTTATTTAAATATGTTTGTTTCTATTAAAATAAATTAAGCCTTATATGTGATGCAATTAGGAATCCAACTTTTCCAAATGTGTGCATGCATGGATAATGATAATTTAATTGGGATTAATCACATCATATATTCCATTCACTGTAAGTGTAAGTGCATGTGTGTTTATATACTTTGCAAAATAATAAAATATGATATTTATCATAATCGTATCGCTATTGAAAACAAATTTAATCGATAGTGTTTCTATTATTAGCTTTTGAGGATACACTTCAATTCCAATAATAGTTTACATGCATTAGGACTCTTTATTTCACTATAAAATACAAGAGGCAAAACATTGGCACGCCACATGTCACGATTTCCTATCGTCGTCAAAATTCAATTTTTTTTTCGCAGACTGCAACTACACCATCCCAACTGCCATACTTTCTGTCCTTTCTTCACCCTCTTTTTCCTTTTCCAAATTTCACGCCCAACACCCTTTAATTCCTTCAGCCATCGTTGAGATTTGAGTTCCCGAAACCCTGGCAATATTACCGCCAAGAATCGCACGAAAATGAGCGCCGGACTGGTCGTCTTCAGCAGCGTTGTGAAGGTGGCTTTCGCCTCATTGTTGGGTATGTTTTTCATCATTCCTCTCTTGATATACATGCACAATGTATATGTAGATGTATTTTCGAATTTAGCCCTTCCTAATGTGCGGAAATTGATTTCAGTTTTGTTGGGTTTTCTTTTTCTTATGTTTAGAATTGTTTTGTAGGTAGTTGCAATTGAGTTTTGTCTTACTACAGAAACTTGTGAATTGGACATGAAGTTCTCAATTGTGTTTTGTTTAATTC